TCTCATGGGCACCATTTTAGAATTCTTCTAATTCGTCAAGTTGTAGTAAGCGTTGTGGACCCGCTAATTTCACATCCAAGTTTAACTTTTTCACAGCCCAATAAACTTGATGCTCAAGTTCAACTGGTAGATGATATGCCTTTTCAAATACTAGCCGGTATGGTGGCATTCCAATTGGTGTTTTGAATGCCGTTCGATATGCCTAAAGAGCATCATCTAGCTTGTGTGACCAGTCCTTGCGATTGGTGTTCACCGTCTTCTCCAGAATTTTTTTGATCTCTCTGTTGGATATTTCTGTTTGCCCATTTACTTGGGGATGATAGCCAAGTGCCAATTTGTGTCAGAAATTGTATTTAGCCAAAAGGGAACTGAAAAGATTATTACAGAAATGTGCACATTCATCACTTACTATTGCCCTAGGCGTGCCAAAACGAGTGAAGATATTTTATCGTAGAAACCTCAAAACTGCCTTTGCATCATTAGTTGGTGTAGAAATTGCTTCCACCCGTTTGGATACATAATCTACTGAAAGGAAAATATACACCTAGCCGAAGGAAGGTGGAAAAGGACCCATGAAATCGATGCCCTATACATCAAACAGTTCTACCTCAAGTATATTGGTTAACGGTAGTTCGTGATGCCTCGAAATGTTCCCCGTGTGTTGACAACGGTCACAAGTTTTCACAAAGGCATAACAGTCCTTGAACAAAGTTGGCCAGTAAAATCCGGATTGTAGTACCTTGGAAGTAGTACGTGTAGGACCGAAATAACCTCCATAGGGCGATGAATGACAATGCTCCATGATAGATTTTGTTTCTTCCACAGGAACACACTTCCTGATTATTCTATCAGAGCAACACTTGAAAAGTAATTGATCGTCCCACAAATATGACTTGACATCATGAAGGAATTTCTTCTTTTGATGGTGAGTCAAGTCAGGTGGCAATTCCCCACGTGCTATATAGTTAACAAAATCTGCATACCATGACGTCCTTGAAGAAACTGCCAAAAGAAGCTCATCCGAAAAAGTCTCTATAATTTGACTATTATCCACCACCTTTTTATTCTCCAACCTTGAGAGAGATGATCTACAACGACGTTCTCACTGCTTTTCTTATCCCGTATCTCTACATCAAACTCTTGTAATAGCAAGACCAATTTGATTAAACATGGCTTGGATCTTTCTTTTCAAATAGATATCTGATTGCAGCATGATATGTGAAAATAATTACTTTGGTGCCAATGAGATAGAATCTGAATTTCTCACAAGGAAAAACTACTGCTAGCATCTCTTTCTCTGTTGTAGTGTAATTCAGTTGGGCTCCATTTAGGGTTTTACTAGCATAGTGAATTGCTCGGAATATCTTCTCACATCTTTGCCCTAGCACTGCCCCAACTGTGTAGTCACTGGCATCACACGTGACTTCAAATGGCTGACCCCAGTCCGACTTTATCATCACTGGAGCTGTAACTAATTGAGACCCATTTTTGACATAGTAAAAGTTCAAATTGAAAATATTCTATTTCTACAATAATTATAACACTTTGAATTACCATTCCAATGAAATTTGAATCACTTCAATTGAATATCAAAAATGAAATTTATGACAATAATACTAACAACTATGCAGAGACATAACTATACGCTCGCAAATGCAACTTTCCTTATTTGGTTAAAAATTTTTTGGAATTCAACTTTGATGTATTTTTTTTTCACCTAATTTCACCTTATATAATAGGCATAGAAGGATCTCCCTCCCACCTCTCAAATTACTTTCATATCATAAAACAATTCAAGAATGAGAGGCAAATTTATCATAAGTTGGAGAGGAGACGTGAATTGAATCAAGAAACATCAAAAACTTGAAGAATCAAAGTTTAGGGTGAATAATCAAGAACAAGATTTAGATTGTGACATTTCTTTCTTATATTTATAAATATCGGGCGATACTTTTCCATTCTTCTTGTTGTTTTATCGTTAGAAACATGTTTAGCTAGATTCTTTGTATTGGGTGAAGTTGAACCCCATTGTTTATTTATTTTAATTCAAGGCTACTGAATTAGTAATTCTTGCATTTCTTGATTAGTTTTGTATACCCATTGTATTATTTAATTGTTTGGCCACTAATTAGATAATTAGTTGCTTGTTATAGTGTTGAAAGACTCACAATAAGTTTAGAATATGGCAAAATGAACATATGTGCAATACATTTTAGGAATAATATTTATTACGTTTGCAATCATATAGATAATATAAATTTTAATACATTATAATCATTCGAATTTGAGTTAGAAATATATTCGGGCCGTGATGAGGATAGATCTAATTTGCCTTGGAGAAAATTATATATTATAACTTTATCAATTGTTAAGAACACATGAACATTGTTAAGAATACATGAACAGAACTAGATTACAAATCAAAAATTAAAATAGATAACATTAGGCAGATTTGAAATCCAATACAATCATCCATAATTTGATACTTTTTACCACTTTCTTAGATAATTTAGTATAAAATCAAATCAAAATCTCTCTTTTGTTTACATAATTTGAATTCCATACAAAACTAATACATCTAGAATGAAATTTATTCCATATGGGACATTATTCTCAGCTCACTAAATTTATTATATGTAAATGATCCCGTATGCTTGTAGGTTTCACATAATCAAGTTTTTGGAACCGTGCTGAGTAATAAAGTATTTAATCTTAGTTTATCAGTTTATATGAGATTCAATTTTTTTATTTAATCATTTATTTCATTTTGTTAATTTTGGCTATACACTCCGATCTCTAATGTGCTAGTATTCCTCCGGTACTACTCGACTCGATAGTATATACAAGATTCTGATGCTGGCAAATGAGTAAAATTTTTGCACTAAGTAATATTGACATGGATAATGAGGATATGCTTTGTAGAAGATATATATTGTGAATTTTGTGATGGGTTGTATTGTAGTAGGTACTGCTTGTATACATGCATTGACCTCTTGAAGCTCAAGCTTCTACGATTCTAATAATATTTAAGATGTCGAAAACTAGCAATTGACAAATCCAATGAAGGCGACATGCCTGTAGGCAAGTACGTATCTGCAGAAATGCTTGTGGTAGTTGGTCCGTAATTTTTGAATGAAGAGGTACTTACAAAATATTACAATGAACTCGTCAAGTTGGATGAAAACAAAAATGTGTATAGAAGATAGCGCATACTGGAATGAGTTTAAAATGTGGGGATATAATCCACTTGAAAATGTTGAAAGGAAAGAATTGCCTTGCCTCTGAATTTAAACTGTGAACTGTCCAATTCATTAAGGGCTGTTTAAGAATTTATGTTCTTGTAAAATTCTTTTAAGAAATTGGAATCCTAATTATTGTTAAGTTGTGGAGCCTAATTCTTGTAAAATTCTATTAAGGAGTTGAAGTCCATGTAAAATTTAGTTTTGCCCTAATTAATCTTATAAATAGGGAGCCCTCAGGTTTTCAATCAACCATCAAATTGAGATGTTAGATAAGATTGGTGTGCAATTTTCTCTTATATTATTTTCTTTTGTTATAGTGAATTACTACCGTGGCGGGAGATGATATAATCTCACATTGAGACGAACCTCTATAAATCAAACATGTTCTTAAGTGTTTTTTCTTTCGTTCAATTGATTCTTCTCGATAGAATATAATTCGAGTTTATAATTTTCAACATTCTGGATTCTTAACAATCCACTATATTCTCAAATATGTTTTATGCAAAGGGCTAACTGTGCTAATGGCCACTAAAATTTTTATTTATTGTCACTTAACGATAATTTGTTTCATATTCATCATTGAAATTTACAAAATTTTCATTTAAATCACCTGACTCAATTTAAACTCTATTTCTAACTAATTATTACAAATATCTGTGTGCTAAGTCGTAGGGTGATTGAAAATCTTTACAATTTGATTATTTGGCACACGAACACGTAGAATGTTCAATAGTAAATAAGCGTGAAACTGAGCTGGTTGTTTAAATAAAACATTTTGTAAAGTTCAACGATGAGTCACAAACAAATTAAAGTTCACAACTTAAGTGACATAATGTAAAGTTCGGTTACAATGAGTAAACTTTACTACTTTATTTTTAAATTTTCTACCAACAATTGCTGAACAATCCACTACATTCTCAAATATATGTACCAATCTATGTCCACCATTTTTTGTTGCATTTACAAACCAAGCCCTCAATTATGTCTCATATTGAACTCACAAGGTTTGGTTCTGGCCACAGCCATGGCTCTCTTTGCAGCTACCATAATTCTGTTTGATCATTTCCGGGAAAAGTACGAAGAGTTCACTACTGATAAAACGAGTTCTTAAGTCTTGTTTATCTTCAGGTACAAGAGAACTTCATTTTTTCTCTTTTCTTGAATTTATTACTAGAATTTAGGTGGTTCATTATTGAACATACGTTCCACGTTGGCTAAATATATGAATGCTAGTCAACATGAGCCCATTTAGTTCAATTGACTACTTCGGTTCGCTTAAAGCTCAAAAGAGAGATTGACCTCGAAACTCAAAAAATCGTAATATTAATGAAACCATGTAGTGTTTTTCTTATAGGTAGCAAGGAAAAGGAGAAGACAGGAGAGGGTTTAATTTGCTTTTGACTGTAGAATTTGTATTAAAGAAAACTGGAGTTACGTCGTCTTGGCCCCCTTATGTACATTAAATACATTGGATCTTTCTTCTAAAAATTGGAAATTCCTATTTGAGGTCTTCATTATTTGTGTTTGACTCTATTTAAAAATTATTTTTTTAAAAAAGTAAGATAAAGACTTATTTGTATTGTCAGTAAAAAAAAAAAAAAATAGTTTTAAAGATCATATTTAGTATATAAGTAATTCAAAATTGAATTTACCTGACCATCGTCCAAATTTCTTATTTTAATATCATAAAGTATTTATAATAATAAACCTGTACATAATATGATCAAATGCAGTTGAAAAATAAGGACGACCACTGATATGTCTCTGTTTGATGCAGAAGTAATTCCTATGAGTTATGAGTTATAATTCCGCATTATCTGAAGCTGCTAATTCATATTTCTTGGATAAATACCATGCTCTGATTGCCATGTTGACTTTGCAGCAATTAAAATGGATATTCCTTTCTGTAGTCTCTCGTGCAATACAAATAATCCCAAGTTGATAATTCTTATATTCTCTAAATTACGTATAGGGTCAAGCTTCAGAATGGGCTCTGCTAAGACGACATTCATCAGAGGATCTCTTTGGTGTTCAGATATGTGGGGCATATCCAGATACAGTTTCAAGAACTGTTGAACTTATAGAGAAGCACTGCATGGTGGATTTTGTAGATATTAATATGAAGGGTGCTGGTTCAGCCCTTCTTACAAAACCGATGCGAATGAAAAGTGTCATAGAGGCATCTTCTAGAGCGGTTGATACGCCAGTAACCATCAAGGTATTTCACGTGACAAGGGTGTCTTAGTTATGTATTTGAACATTCCAGTTGGAAACAGGTGAAACAACTCATTTAGTTCTTCTGCAGTTTATCTAAATAATGAATCAATTCACATGCAGAATGTGGTAAGCTGTAGTTCAAGTGACTTATAATAATTTTGTTAATTGGTGAGATTACCAAACAGTGGATATATATGCTTGGAGGACTTTCTTTGTTTACAGATTTCTTGGTCTATCTACAGATATTAATGACCATTATATAGGCAAACAAATTTCTTGATCAGAATTTTTGTATTACGATTTCAGATAGTGCATGCTACTCTTGATAACTATGAGAGGGACATACAAAACGAAGAAGATGATGAAAGGGGGAAGGCACATCATAACTGGGTGGATGATGTAGTAAGATGGGAGGGAAGAGGTACTCCCAGTGTCGGTGGTGAATTTAGCCCCAGCCACATGAATATCAGACCACGGCCTGGAAAGAAAGATCCATCCCTCTTAACAAGGTTGAAGAATTTCAATGTTGATAAAGCCTCTGTTCGGGAATCATTCTTACCCCCTGTTTGGGCTCCATCAAAATGAGATTTTGGATTAAAATGTGTTCTAGAATAGGAGAATGTGTGGTTAAAAAAATAACAAAAAGTTTTGGGTTTATTTATAGCATTATTTTATGGGAGAATGTGTGGTTGAAAAAGAATTTTGGAAAAATGGAGCCCAAACAGGGCCTTAATAAGTTAATACATTTAAAACTATTACTCATTATCTACACATTTCGTGGTCTCAACCACTATTCCTCATAAAAAGTTGCTATAATGTTCCCGAACAGAGGTAAAATAAATTAATGGTATTTTTTAAGTTAAATTTGCAATCAGCTTCTGAAGTGATAGCCGCTTGCTTGTTTCTCTAATATGTTTCTAATTACTGAGTTTCTGTACATCGTATGTTTCAGAGAGGAAGTTGAGGCACCAAAAATATGGGCTGAAATATGCATCCAGAGAATGGTTGAACTGGGGAAGGAGAGCACAACAATGCGTAGGATATTTGATCCAATGTTTGTATACTTTGATGCTGGGAGGCACTGGGTGCCTCAGCATGGGCTGGCCACTATTGTTCTGTCTGACATGTCCTACTTTATGGAAAACTCAGGTGACTTGCCCATCCACTTGTTTGGCTAAGCTTAAAAAAATGTAAAAAGTTACTTTTAAGCATAGTTTTGAAGACAATTTTAGAAGTTACTTCTTTTACTAGCAAAATGTACTTTTCTAACTTGCTTTCTAGCTAGCGTACTTTTCTACAATCGGGTCTTAACTTACTTTCTAGAAAAGCAACTTTTCAGCTTAGCCAAGCATGCCCTGAATTGGTCATTACTTTTGTTATGTTCAAAGTTTCCATACACTGGCTTGTGGAGATATATTGTCTCCTGGGAATGTGTGAGATCTAGAAACTGAGGTTCTTCTTATAGATAGTAGGTGATACCGTGATAAGTTGAGTGACTTCTAATTAGTGTAGTGGGGTTGGGATATCACATGTTAATATGGATATTTTGAAGTAATTGTATGACAGTATTTTTGGTACTTTATATTTTTCCTGTATGGAGTAGAATTATTGAATAATTTTAATTGCTGGATTGCTGACTTATTTATTAATATTACAACTGAAGTTGTCAGAAGCATCCTTGGGCGATCTCCCTCCCGTCCTTTGTGTCTCCAGTACTTGATAGGATCAAAATGTTTCAAAAATTTGATTCATCTACAGATGTATGCCTGGATCAATTAACGGTAAGTAAACTCTAAACTCTTTCTACTAATGATGTACTTCTGCTCGGGTTTAGCTCTATTAGGTGCAGATTTTCTCATTTTAATAGGAAACTCAAATTCTTGGCAGACTAACAACAATTGTATTCTTTTCCAATAACAGGTCAATGAATATCCTCCTGGGGTCATTTGCATCTGAATTCTTATGTTTCATTGCTTCATTTTTTATGTTATTATGGGTGTTTGTGTATTAATTGTTCAAGCATTAAATGAGTGATAATTTTAACAAAATGATTTTTGGGATAGTAATAGCTGGTTATTCTGTCCTTCTGAATTTGGATATGGTGACTTCGTGGTTTTGAATTTGGATTTAATGATAAAATTTCATGTCTTTACGGCCTGGGGTGTGTCTACAAGAGAGCAAATTTTTGAAATTTTTTGGGGTTTATGTGGAACTCTCTCTCATGGGTTATGGAAGCTGCAACTATAATGGCAATTGCCCTTGCAAATGATTCTGCGTGGACCCCATTTTTTCCTTTTCAATTAATAAGTTATTGGCTATCATTTTGCTCTATTTTCCAAAAAAACTTATGCTAATAATTGTTAATTTTCTTTTGCTAATAGAATTAGCATTTTGGGCTTTCAGAAATTATTTCCTTTGCAAAGCAATTCTAATGAAATTCTGCTGCATTTTCTTTCTTGTGTGGATCTGTATTTCGACTTATTTTGCTCAAATTTCAGGAATATGTGTACAACAGAAGACTTGGTTTGGTGGAAAAATAATAGAAGGCGGCTATGGAATTTTGTCTTCTCATTTGGGTAAAAATAGTTCTGCTTGCATGTCTATGAGTTCTGGGTGAGAAGATTTCAATTTCTATTGGGTATATTAATTATAGTAAATTCTAAAATTTGGTTCAATTTAGTAATTTTTATGCTTACTATACAGTTTTGTTAATGCTGAAAGAGATTATTCTTTCAAGAGAGGAGGCCAAAATGAGATTTAAGGAAGGCAATGCAGTATTGATGGCCTAAACCTAGGGGAAGATTGAATTATTTTTATGGAGTAAAATAGCTCCAATTTTACTTATTTTTCTTATTTTTTAATTTTTTTTATGTTGAGAGGTAAATATTTGATTTATGGGATTTCCAAAAGCAGGGCTTTGAATTTTTTGGATAAGGCCTACAGATTTGGTTAATCTCTCTTTGGTTCTGTATTTTGTGATTTAATGGAAAAAAAAATTCCTTTTCTGAATGTATTTCCATTTGGTGGCATCTTTTTCTCGTAATTTGTTTATAGTATAATATTATTGTGCATAATATGAACTTTGAGTTTTCTGTTTGTGATTTTGGGTTGGAGCACTTTATTTTTGTGTTTATCTTTAACTTTGCAGTTGTGAGAATATGCTTTCGCTCTTTTCTTTCTTATGTGCCGTCATTTTTTTCCCATCTTTACCTACGTGGGTCACGCGGGTACTCTTCATGTTCCCTCTGTAGCTCCTGTCTCTCCGATAGGAGAGGAGGCTTAGACCGAATTATTAAATTAACTAAAAAAATCACATCTTTATTAATAACAAATTAATTCTTAAACAAAACTATTAAATATAAACTAAGCAAACGTGCATTGCACGTTGCTTACACCTAGTATTCTCAAATATGTTTTATGCAAAGGGCTAACTGTGCTAATGGCCACTAAAATTTTCATTTATTGTCACTTAACGATAATTTGTTTCATATTCATCATTGAAATTTACAAAAAATTCATTTAAATCACCTGACTCAATTTAAACTCTATTTCTAACTAAATATTACAAATATCTGTGTGCTAAGTCGTAGGACTTATTGAAAATCTTTGCAGTTTGATTATTTGGCACACGAACACGTAGAATGTTCAATAGTAAATAAGCGTCAAACTGAGCTGGTTGTTTAAATAAAACATTTTGTAAAGTTCAACGATGAGTCACAAACAAATTAAAGTTCACAACTAAAGTGACATAATGTAAAGTTCGGTTACAATGAGTAAACTTTACTACTTTATTTTTAAATTTTCTACCAACAATTGCTGAACAATCCACTACATTCTCAAATATATGTACCAATCTATGTCCCCCATTTTTTGTTGCGTTTACAAACCAAGCCCTCAATTATGTCTCATATTGAACTCACAAGGTTTGGTTCTGGCCACAGCCATGGCTCTCTTTGCAGCTACCATAATTCTGTTTGATCATTTCCGGGAAAAGTACGAAGAGTCCACTACTGATAAAACGAGTTCTTAAGTCTTGTTTATCTTCAGGTACAAGAGAACTTCATTTTTTCTCTTTTCTTGAATTTATTACTAGAATTTAGGTGGTTCATTATTTAACATACGTTCCACGTTGGCTAAATATATGAATGCTAGTCAACATGAGCCCATTTAGTTCAATTGACTACTTCGGTTCGCTTAAAGCTCAAAAGAGAGATTGACCTCGAAACTCAAAAAATAGTAATATTAATGAAACCATGTACTGTTTTTCTTATAGGTAGCAAGGAAAAGGAGAAGACAGAAGAGGGTTTAATTTGCTTTTGACTGTAGAATTTGTATTAAAGAAAACTGGAGTTACGTCGTCTTGGCTCCCTTATGTACATTAAATACATTGGATCTTTCTTCTAAAAATTGGAAATTCCTATTTGAGGTCTTCATTATTTGTGTTTGACTCTATTTAAAAATTATTTTTTTAAAAAAGTATGATAAAGACTTATTTGTATTGTCAGTAAAAAAAAAAAAAAATAATAATAATAGTTTTAAAGATCATATTTAGTATATAAGTAATTCAAAATTGAATTTACCTGACCATCGTCCAAATTTCTTATTTTAATATCATAAAGTATTTATAATAATAAACCTGAACATAATATGATCAAGTGCAGTTGAAAAATAAGGACGACTGCTGATATGTCTCTGTTTGATGCAGATTTTTTTTTAAAACTCTTTTTTCCCTTGAACTCATTTTCAACTATATATTCTTCAAATAAAATAATTGTTTCCTTCTTTTTAGTCACTCATTCTCCAAAACGTCACCTTATACAGATCTATTATGAAAAAATTATATCAAATAGACCTATATTATATCCAAAAGGATTTATTTTTTATAAAATAGACTAATCCCCAATTGGGAAGGCAATTGAGCGATCCCCACGAAGTTGGTTGTAGTGGTGATATGTGTGACGAGGTCAAACTCATATGTACCATTTACAGTCAACTACTCAAAAGAATGGAAGGACAAATAGTAGAAGATGTGAAGCTCCAAAACTAGGTACAAGAAAGGAAAAGTGTCGTGTGGTGAAAGTGACTCTAAAATTCATGTCGATCTTCATAGACTTCCAACATTACTACATATAATCTGACCATCCGAATGTATCAACTATGAATAAAGCTACTAAGAAACCTTCTATTAACACTGCTTGTATATCGTGCTGGACCCTCTATACCTTATTTTCGACTATCTTTTAATTACTGTTAAAAATCTAAATCACTATATATAACTGAACGCCAAATAGTATGGTTCAAGCACAAAGAGATTCACATTCACGATTAATAACTGATATATCAAATATGAAGGATAGTATAATAATGCAAATGGTGTAAGCATATTCATTCTTCATATCACGACGCACTAGTAAATCATAAAATAGAATCACAACCATCAATATAACATAATGCATTAATAAGATATTCTTAAGTTAACTGTGATGTTACTATATGAGAGATTATGACTAATGAAACCAAATTATGAAATGATCAGGGCTTTCATTTATGATATGCCCAAGCCCTGTATCATGTTCGTGTGTGTTTATTGAGCTTTCTTCACTTCAGAACCATGCGCTTTGCGCTGCTTTATAGAAGAGAGAGACCCTCTGAGAGTGAAGAGCAAGGGCAAGCAATGGAAAGAATAATTCCTCGTGCGTTCCCGCGAGCTATAACTACTAGAAAATGATGAGATCAATAGTGATAGAATGACCAATGTTGACGATCCTATCCTAAAGGAGAAGGAGGGTATCCAACCTGCCAGGGCAAGGATACCGTTGTTGAAAGATGGAAAGGAAAGATTGAGAAGTGGTCCAATACATTGCCACTATGTTTACCAGTGGACACAGAAATGTGCGTCAATCACAAAAGGGGCATTTGTCTCCATCGTGAGTGTTGCTATCACTTCGAATCTTCTCCGATGGATCGAGGCATATTGGCTTGGCTATTCCAACAAATGTAACGATCGGGATTGAAGCGCAAAGGTTTTGACTATTGAACATATTCGCCTCGGATCCTTACTTTCTTTTGACCCCCTCTCTACTATTATATTACTCCTTTAGGTTTAGTTTAAATCCTCTCATAGGATTCTATAACAGAAAAAACAAAGACCCTCACTATTGGATCAACAGGATATCCCGCATTTCAATTTGAGTAAGAAAGAGAGTCTCTCCCAAAGTCTCATCCCATGGGCAACATCTTGACTATGAAAAGCAAAGACATATCGCGCTTAAAAGTTGCCATTTTTATTCAATATGATACCACTTTCTTTCATGCGACAGTTCAAAACTGGAATTAGCACAATCTCAAAAGTGGCAGCCCTTGCTTAATTTGCGTAGTGAGTTCATCACCAATGGCACAAGTAGAAGAGGTATATGTAGGGGAAATAAAGGAAATTTACCTAGTCAAAGCTAGGGTTTTAGGGTCATATAGGGGACAATGTGTTGATGCCAAATGCATTGGTATCAATGAATATGAGTCTGGTGATAAGTGTATATTATACACTTAATCTGGGCATTGAATATTCATAATTACAGGCTTAAAATGTGATATCTATTGTTGTGGCATTTATTTGGTTTGTTTTAGGTAAATTACAAATTTGAACAAGAAATCAAGTAAGGCGTGAGGTCAGGAAGGTCGAGAAAAGGGTCAAGAAAATGAAACAAGAAAATCGGGATAAATAGAAAAAAATTCGTTTCAGGGACCAGTGCTGCAAATTTCGCAGATTACATCATGGACCCATGCTAGGTGGCGTGTGAGTGCCGCTTTTAGAAAATTGGCACCAATACGCATTTTAAACATGGTTTTTACCTTGCCAGTTTTGAACTGACTTTTAAGGGTTTTGGTCAATTTTTGAACATTTTTAAAGATCTAAAATGGCTGCATATCTAGACTTTATTTGAATTAGAAAAGGACATTTTTGGAGATTGAAATTGAGAGAAGATATAAAAAGCAAGGAACTAGGGTTTGGACTTGTAAAATTTGAATGGGCGAACTCAAGCTCGGTGCAAGAATGTTTTTCACTTTCATTTTCAATTTATCAGGGAAAAAAACTATGAAATTTCTTAATTTCCTTATCTGCACTCTAAATAATAACTACTCCCTGTTGGTTGGTAACACATGACTGCAAATTATTGACGTTTTCTAGGCTAAATGCTGGTCGAGTTAACCTAAAAATAACAACGATAAAGATTATGGTGTGGTGAGACGTACACCCAATGATAATTTCGCTTAATTCATATTTGCTGAAGTTTACAAGTGTTATTTTAATGTCTTTTATTTTAATTTTCTCTTCATTGTAGTGGCACACAAATGTTTTAACATGGCCGCACATTAGAATGAGTTTTTCTTTCTACGTGCGTATTGCATGCATTTTGAAAGCTGTCATTGATTATCACCTTTTTAAATTTAAGCCTCTCTCGTATTTTCTACACTCCTAGGTTTAGTCAGCATAAATTTGTTAATTAATAGCTGATATAGACGGTAAAGAGAGAGACTAATTTGATGTGTGTATAAGGTGGCAGTGGTGTACATATTGTGTATACATATCCAAATTAAGAGAGAGAAATGGCAGTAGATTTAATGCAAGTGCTTGCTGCATTTCTTATGACTTCTATGTTTATGATGCTTGGAAACATGATTAAAAAAGAAAATGTGATCCACTTCACGCAAGTTTTCTCTTGCAATCACTTATATTATGGACTGAGAATAAGGTGTTTGGTT